AAAAAAAAAAAAAAAAAAAAAAAGTCTGGCATTGAAGGAATTCTACCATAGGCTTCAAATGCCTATCATAGAGTGCATTCCTAGTTATATGTCTCTTCCATTCTTGTGAGACTGACCTACTTTATCACCCAAAGTTGTCAGACTCATAACTTCAACTGATTCCTTTTCTTTTGACCTAAGAAATCCTACTTCTCACTTGAATGTCATTAATATTTGCTGGTTCTGAAGAATGAACTAAGCTGGCAAGGGCCCTCATGGATGCCATCAATTACACTTTTATCTGTCAAGGAAAGGTTTAGATATGGAAGAAAATTTTCTTTGTTGGTTAGCAGGGATGGGAGGAGAGCGGGGAGGAACATTGTTAGGTAGAGATAAGTATTGATTTGGGTGGAGAGAAGGGCAGTGTACCAAATGTAAGTGATCAATATGGTGGCACTGAGGAAGAGGAAGACATGGAGAGGTACATGGGAGGTACAGACAACAAAGATGAACCCTTTTGCACATACAGTACTGCATTGTCAGTGAAGTCAAACATAGGTATACAGGTGGAGAGATGGGTGGACAGGCTGAACTATTAGGTATGTCTGTGAAGCAGGGAGTACCCAAGACCATGTATAGGGTTGGCAGACAATGGTCCTGTAAGTTTATTTGTATGATGTGAATTCCCAGGTGTATAGTAGAGCTGACAAGGGGCAAGGTTGTAGTCACTTCTTGGTCACAGCCAGCTACCCAGAGGGACCAAGTAGTTGAACCTGTGGGCTCGGGACCATAGCCGCAGGGGACATCAAGCTCCATTGGCATAACATACTACACAAAACATTGTTCCACCTCCTACTTTGGCAAGTAGCAACTGGGATCTTGAAAGCTTGCAAGCAGCCATCTACATGCAATGATGGGCCTCTCCTCGTCCAGAACAAAGAAGAATGAAGAAAACCAAAGATTCATGGAAAGAATTAATCCTAGCAACTGCTACACCATGCGATCTGCAGCCTATACAACTATGAGACCAGAAGACCTAGATGGTGCCCAGCTATCAATGTCAACTACTTGGAGGGGGGTCTGTGTAGGAGATCCTGAATAAAGAGGGAGAACAATGTGGAACAAAACTCAAAATCATTTGGAGAAAAAAAAAGGGGCAGGGGAAGAGACCAGGTTTGCTGGTCTGATAGAGCCTGGTGGAAGCACTGAGACTATGTCCTAGCTGCCCTTCAGGTCTGGAATTGAACCCACACCTGTGGTTTCCAGCCAAACAAAAGACAGGCAGATGAAGTGAACATTTACCTGAGGTAGATACACTCCTTGGAGAGAACAATCATGGGAGAAAGAAGGGCTGTTTATGTACCGGGAGACAGCTTAGGGGGCAGGTGTGCATGAAGAGATGGACACAGGGAAGAGGTAACTATCAGGAGGAAGTGGGAGGGGAGCTGTGCATTGGGGTAAATTGCAGTCAATGTCATGAGACAGTGTATGTGAACTGCTATATAGAAAGTTAATTTGCTCTGTAAATTTTCACTCAAATCACAATAAAAAAAATTACACTTTTATCTGAGGATGCTTTCAGAGCACTAGCAGTCTAGGTATGGACCTTTGCCATGCTGCCTTGGCTCACCTCCCTGTGTGCTTGGGAAGCAGAGATGACAGGCAAGGCCTCAAAACACATTCATTTCCACATTCTTTTTAGAGTTCAGAGTCCCCAATAATTTTGCACCCAATATGATGACAACAGAGTCCCTGCCCTTTGGGCCTCTTCTGGTGGAGATTGTGAGCAAGTGACTATATACTAACTCAGACTAGCAATCGTCTAGCCCAAAGAAACAGAGACATGTATAGTAAGTAGTTGTTTAAAAAAAAAAAAAAAAAGTGTGTCATTATCAGTCCTCCTCCTCTGACTTTCACAAGGGGGAGGAGAGAATTAACATGAACATCATCTCAAGGCTGATTCCTATGAGGTGGAGGTCAGATATACTTCTACCCTCCAACCTTTTTACCAAATCTGATACCAGCTGCCTCTCCTATGGCACTCTACTTCTCTCTGGGTTTGAAAATTCATTGCAATGATCTCACAGAACTCAAATACTCATGATTATGAGATATATTAGAGAAGTACCACGTTACAACTTGGGATCAGGATCAATAGACTACAACTCAGGGTTAGGATAAAGTCTCCCTTCTTCAGTGCAGGACAGCTCTCTCAGCCCCTCTGGTCATAGAAAGCGTCTCTCAGCACCCTCAGGCCTCTGCTCGCCTTGGGGAAATGTTACAAAACTCTTTTAGCTCTGCCAATAAGTGCCCAGAGGCAACCCACTCCTCCCTAAAGGTGCTCAGCTCTCTCACTCAGTAAGTCAGCTTGCCCAGTGTAGTATCCTTGCTCGGTAGTCCAGGAAGCCCACTGCACTATCTTATGCTGGTCTCTTGGTTCCACTGCTGCCATCGCTCTGCCGTCTCTTCTTGCTGTCTTGCCCTTTCTCCAGTGTTACAGATTTCTGTCTCCTGGGTCTGAGAGGTTCTCAGTGCAGGGATCCTGGATCCAAAGGACATGCTTTACTCTAGGCTCTTCTTTCTTGATGGTAGTGAAGAGATCCCCCGCCCCATCCTGCCTGTTCGATGTCCCATTTTTAAGCCTAGATGGATGATAAAACTGACCAGGCCCTTCATTAGGGTTCCATAATCTTATTAGCATGGTCCTCACCGGGACCCCCACACAAGGGTTCCATGCCCCATGCCCCTTATTTGCATTGTTAGCAAGCTGTCCAATCCCGTTGGTGGGCCACAAGCACCTTATTTGCATAGTCCCACCCAGTCACTGGGTGGGCGTTATAAAACCAAACCAAAACCACTACTATTGAGTTGCTTCCCATTCATAGTGACTCTATAGGGCAGTGGAGAACTGCCCCATAGGGTTTCCAAGGCTGTAAATCTTTAGGGAAGCAGACTGGCTCATCTTTCTTAACTGCTGACCTTTTAGTTAATAGAACAATGCTTTATCCAGTGTTACCTGAGCTCCTTGCAGGAGTTACGGTACATACCTAAAAGGACAATGTTGAGTAATTTACTGCACTGCAGTAGTTTACAGAACTTTACACTAAAGCCCGATGATACAAAGGGTGGAAAGAAAAGATGGATAATGCACATGTAAACAGGACAATTTCAAGTATGGACAATGCTATAAAAAAGATAAAATGCTGCGAATGTATGGTGATGGTGGAGTGTTCATTTCACTAGGTTGGCTGGGAAAAGCCTTTCTGACCAGGGGCAAGGCAGAGGATGAGACCAAGGGGAAAGTTTTCGCCAAAGTGTGAACATGTATGTATCAACAATAAAAGTGGAGGCTATAATGAGAAGAGGCAAGATGAAGGACAAAGTCTGATGCTATCTGAACCATTTTGGGTAACAGGGCAGGAATGATAAGCAAACAGCAGTTCTGCCCACACTATTGCTGTATTAGGTCTAGAACTGCTGAGTGGTGAAGAGAAAGTGAAAGTAGAGCGCGAGGCATAGGAGAAGGAAATCAGCTACAATTTCAGCTTCTCTTTGGCTTCGGCCCCCTCCCACCCATGGTCCTGCAACCCCTCCACCTGCTAGAACCCAGGCTGCGCCGCTGCACCTCGAATCCCCAGCTTCTAGTAGGTAACCGGGAGCTCTGGTAGCATAGTGGCTAAGACACTTGCCTGCAAATCAGACGGCTGGCGGTTCAAACCCACCAGCCACTCCTCGGAAGGAAGGTTGGGCAATCCTACTTCCGTAGTGATACTGCCTCGGAAACCCAAGGAGGGGTCGCTATGAGTCGGGGCGACTCGACTGCACATAACAACAACAGTAGGTAACCGGCAATGACTCCACCTCCCGAGGAACTTCCGAAATGACTCCACCTCCCGAGGAACTTCCGCGTCTTCGGCTGCCCCGCCCCCCATGGTTCTGCGCACGCGCGGGGGCCATATTAGCAGCGGGTACTCGGGTAGTGGTAGTGGTTATCGTCCCGCGGAGTAAAGCGCTCGGTGTGGTTCTTGACTCTTCATTGTCTTCACTCGGGTAAGTCTTTGCCACTTGGGGACCCGCGGAAACTTGGCCACTCTCCTCGTGCGCGGGGATTGTGAGCGTCGAGACAGACCCGGTCCCGGCCTGCAGCCACTGCCGAGGAACTGTAGGCACGATGACTTTGCACCGGCCTCGGTGACTGACCGGCCGCGGGGACTTGGCTCTGGCCGGCCACCGTCAGTCTTCCTGCGCGGAGCCTGGACGGCGGGGACCCGGACGGGCCAGCGGGTCGGGCGTGGGGGAGCGGTGGGCAGGACCAAAGAATCGTGTACAGGAAAATTAGGGCTGCTGGAAATGAGAGTAAACTTAAGATCATCCTGTGCCCGGCATCGGGTGTGGAAATCCAGAAAGTTACATTTACGCGCGAATCAGAAGCCTTCCCCAGGTCTCTCGTCTGTGCCCTCCTGGCTTCCTTGCTCAGGGATATCCGTATATTTCACCTGTCTATTGCAACAGCCTCATAAACTGGTCACTCTGCTGGAGTGATCTCACCAGCCAGACTGATGTTTCCAAAACGCACATCAGCTCCTGTGACTCTTAGAATCATCCAATGGGATCTCGTTGCCTGATGGATAAAATTCAGGTTTTTACATGGACACACGGGCCATTTCTAACTTTATATACCGTTCCAGTTTTAATTCTCGATATTCCATTATTTGGAAATAGGGACTTTGGAGTCTGAAGGCTTAGCCTTCCAAGTTCCAGTGCCCTCTATTGCAGGTATGAGAATGATGACGCTGAAGATACCCCCATATAGTTCCCTACTCCGTGTCACTCTCTGGAGAAAATCTCAGCGCTTAATCTCACATTCAAGGCTCTGCGTGATTTCAAAACTTGTTTAATTCTCTAGTTGCTTTTTCTTTTTTAAAACCTTAACAATTTGTCGCGTGCCCATTGAGCTATCCTTCCTGTATCCTTTGCTCGTGCTTTCTTCTGCCCGGTGTGTCTTTCCCTTCCGCCTTTCTCAGTTCTGCCCTTTAGACCTGAGAGTTCTGAACCTTGTTTTTGCCTCCCCCATCTCTAATTTACACTCATTTTCTGTATCAGTTTCTCAAAGGAGACTTCCCTGGTTTTCTCCATCCCTTTTCTTGCCTCACCTTCTGCATTGCTTTGTAATTAATTGTCTGTATCTGCCTCCCTTACCTAACTACCCTACTGTAAGCTTTTTCGTGCAGGGATTTGTCTTACCCACTTGGTATTGCAGCATCTAGTATAGTGCCTGGCACTTAGCAGGTACACAGTACACCTTGGCTGAATGAAGGGAGCAAACAAAGCAGTTTTTTAAAAGAAAATGTTTTTTTAAATAGTAAATTTCATTTTAATAATCATCTTACTTCCTTTTTACAGGAATTATATAAAAATCAGGAAACATGGTGAGTTAATATACGTGCCAATAAGCTGTTGTCTGATAAATAATATTGTTTATACTCAAATTATGGAATTGCATGAGAAAATTGAAATGGAAGGAAAAAGACATGGAATGGTGTCATTTTCTTTGTCGATTTCTTCCCACACATTGAACATAGTACGCTTTGTGGGCTTGCAGGGGCATACTTACTTTCAGTGAGTAGGAATGACTTGCGTGTTTTTCCTTTGCAGTCTCGAAGATATGACTCCAGGACCACTATATTTTCTCCAGAAGGTAAATAGAAACTGTTCAGTATATCTAGAGGTATTTGTTTATGTATTCATTTGGAGAGATGCCGTAGGTTTCAGAGTCTGGTTGGCTGTAATCCTTACAGAAGCCACTCACCAGGTGTGGGTCTTCCACAGTGCTGCTGGGTGGGCTTGAACAGTCAACCTTTGGTTTACTAGCTGAATGTGAACTGTGTGTGCCACCTGGAGGCCTTTCAATATGTCTTAAATAAACTGATATTTAAAGTGATAGACTTTTGGGTGTAAAAAATCTATAAACCTTTCTATAGTTGCTAGACTGGGAGTTCAAACGCACCAGCCACTCCTCGGAAGGAAGTGATACTTCCTCAGAAACCCAAAGGGGTTGCTGTGAGTCGAACCTGACTCGACAGCAGTGAGTTTGCTTTTGGTTTTAAGCTGTACTTTGAATTATGTATGGTTACCAGGTTGCTTATATGCCTTATAGAAAAGTAAAAGTGGGACTCTTATTTATAGCCTGCCAATACCGTTGCTGATTTTGCTTGGAGACCTATAGGTTATTAGTGAGGCAGGAGCATGATGTCTTAATTTCTTATGCTTGTGTTGTGTAGGTCGCTTGTATCAAGTTGAATATGCCATGGAAGCTATCGGACATGCAGGCACCTGTCTGGGAATTTTAGCAAATGATGGGGTTTTGCTTGCAGCAGAGAGACGGAATATCCACAAGCTTCTTGATGAAGTCTTTTTTTCCGAAAAAATTTATAAACTCAATGAGTAAGTAAGATCTTTGGGAAGAGAGTTTAAAATGTCTCACTCTCTCACATAAGGACCAAGTGTTGTTCAAGTTCAGGGCCAAGCACTAGACCCCACCCAAACAGGCTGTGTAACCTTACAGCAATTAGTAACTTTTCAGAGCCTCCTAGAGTGATGGTAACAGTTTAATAAAGTACAATAAGGACAAAGCACCTAGCACCGTGTCTGGCATCTAGCAGGCCTTCAAAGCAGGACTTCAAACTGCAAAGTATTGTTTAGAATGGCTACTCAGGCGTTATACTGAATTATACTAAGACTGACTTACCAAAGAATGGGCCTCAATGGCTGAGAACAGATTAGCAAAACCTTGTACACTTAATAGTCTTTGAGTGGTACAAAGTTCTTTGCTGCTAACTGAAAGGTTAGAGATTTGAGTCCACGTAGAGGTGCCTCAGAAGAAAGCCTTGGCAGTTTTCTTCCAAAAATGAGCTATTGAAAACCCTGTGGAGTACCATTCTATTCTGACAACGTGGGGTCACCATGAATCAGAATTAACTCAGCAGCAATTGGTGGTGTACACTTACATTAGGCATGCAGGACTTTGCCGCTAACAGAGAGCTGGGTTTGCTGACTAACTTTCCTTTCAGTGGGAAGCCTGGTGAAGGCTGGATATAAGGACCTTTTGATGCCCTCTGCAAAGAAATGTTAGCCCTACCACAGAGCCACTGTTGGGCCCATTCAGTAACTTGAATGCTTGGCTAGGCATAGTGATAGAGGTAGTCTAGGCTGTAGGAGAGTCAGAGAAGTGCTCGAGAAGCAGGGGCAAAGAAAGGAAATGCACCCCATAGACTGAACCTAGTCCTGGAGTTCGTAGGTGGGCTTGCAAAACCCTATGCCCTCATGCCCCCTCAAACTAAGCTTTAAGGTAGAGTAGCACACAGAAGGATCAGATGGTTTATCATTCTCTCTGGCCAAACTTTCTTTTCTTGCTAAATCTTCAGGATTTATTTTAGCTTCTCAGTGTTCATTCTCTTGCCCTGAACACAGAACAGTGATGATAAATACACCTAATTAAGAACTTAAGGGTACACAATGTCATGAGACAAAATGTGTATGGAAAGTGAATTTGCTCTGTAAACTTTCACCCAAATCACAATTAAAAAAAAAAAAAAAACTTGAGAGTACATTTGTTTCTTTTTCATGTTGAATGCCATCAAATTCAAAATCTCCTATAAAAATAAAACATCTATAGTTTTTGTGTGAAGAGTGTAGTAGCTGTGAAGCAAGTATGGGGATTTTCTAATAGTATATAAAAAGAAGTAGAATGTGGTACTTTTTAACACATTGATGCGTAAATACTAATGCAAGCGTTTTTCCTGCTTGTAGCTCATTCTTTTCTTTTCTTTAAGGGACATGGCTTGCAGTGTGGCTGGTATAACTTCTGACGCTAATGTTCTGACGAATGAACTGAGGCTCATTGCTCAAAGGTATGGTCATAATACCTTGACTGACGTAATTGATGATAGATAGGTTATATGTTTCTAAGGAGAGCTCACTTGTATGAAGGTTAAAGTCTTTTTTTTTTTAACCAAACTTGTAAACTTATTTATCGTAGGGATATTAGGATGTTAACATGTTCCTTCCTCCCTCCTCCGAATTACAAGTGACTGTTACATATTCCCAGTGGCATAAATTTCTTTTCAGAGAGTATTTTGCTTAGAGTGTATCTCTTTTAGAGAAAACTAATATGGTAATCTCTTTAAATCCTAGGTATTTATTACAATATCAGGAGCCAATTCCTTGTGAGCAGCTGGTTACAGCGCTGTGTGATATCAAGCAAGCTTATACACAGTTTGGAGGTACTAATTTTTTGGAAGTTTTATTTAAAAAGATTAAAACATTTAATTAATTCAAACCTTTTAAAGATAAGAAAAAGGAATTGAAAATTAAATAGGTAAGTGACAACTTTCCATAAATTCCTAGTGTGTGAACTAACTGCCATGTAGATTATCATGAGTTTTGTTAATAGGATATTGAAAGGCCAAAATAATATTTTCAAATCTGGCAACAGATTGCTTTTTACATAATAATGAAATTCAACATTGGTCCCTTGGGTCTTTATTCCCTCTCTTGGCTGTGTCTGAATCCTAGAAACAAAAGCAGAATTTATGATAGAGCTTATCTGTTGTAGCCAGAACACAGAGCAGTTTGTGAATGTTTAACATCACAGAGAAGGTTTTAGCCACCTTCACTGAGCTCAGGTAACTATGATGCTGAATTTTGACTTGATTTGACTGGTGGTTTTTTTTTTTGTTTTTTTTTAAATTAAAGGAAAACGTCCCTTTGGTGTTTCATTGCTGTACATTGGCTGGGATAAACACTATGGCTTTCAGCTATATCAGAGTGACCCTAGTGGGAATTATGGGGGATGGAAAGCCACATGCATTGGAAATAACAGTGCCGTGAGTATTTTTGTGGTGTGAAAAGATGTGGGGAAGGGTCTAATGACTACCTCAATTCTGAAGTAGTGATGCATATAAACAATATTTTAAGACAGCTGCCACAATTAATGTGATATAGAAAAACAGTGATTTCTATCAGTGACAAAGTAGCAGGTACTCCTAATACTATAGAAGTATGTTGCCTACATTTATAATGAAAGGAAATGCTAATTTTCAATGAGAAGTTGTGAAAATAAAGATATGATTTTTTTTTTTTCCCTCTTTCCTAGTTCACAGACCCCCTGAATTATACCATGGACCCCTTGGGGATCTGAGGACCCCAGGTTAAAAACTCCCTTCATAGAACATCAGCACTCCCCTTCCCATGTCTACCTTCTCTGCCACCAAAACCATATACTGCTTACTATGTCAATAATACTTCAGACATCATTATTCTGACCAAGCCATATTCCTAAAGAGTTCAGAAAAGGAATGCTATAAGGGAATTCTGTATATTCTTTATGTTTTTATAGGCAGCTGTGTCAATGTTAAAGCAAGACTACAAAGAAGGAGAAATGACTTTGAAGTCAGCACTTGCTTTAGCTATCAAGGTGCTAAATAAGACCATGGATGTTAGTAAACTTTCTGCTGAAAAAGGTAATTAATGTGATTGAACAGCTACTGTGTTAGGCCTTTAACATGTTACCTAAGTTCATTTGAAACAGCAACCTTATGAGTTAGGTGACCTTATACCTATCTCTTAAATGAGGATACTGGGCCTTAGTGAGACTAAGTGACTGATTCTAAGTGATTGTGGCATGGAGACACAACTCCATACTACATCCCAAGCATCATGACTTAAGGCTGGGTGTTCTCAATGCTCAGAGTTAGAGATCTGAGCCATGCTACTTTTAGTTAACAGTTACCAAGATTTCTTATTAATGGCGTCCTCTTACATGAACACTATTCCCTGACTTATGATGGGTTTCTGTTCAGTGACTCCATCGTAAGTTGGTTCTGATGTAAGTCAAATACCTCTTTTATTATTTTTTTAAGTTTTCATTACTATTGCCTTTTATTATCAGTGTCTTAATAAATCATGACATTGAACATCTGCAAGTAAACATCCAAGAATGTAGCATCAGCAATTACATGCTGCAGCATTGTTTGTTGTTGTTGTTGTTGTTGTTATGTGCCGTCGAGTCGGACCCGACTCATAGCGACCCCTCCTTGGGTTTCCGAGGCAGTATCACTACGGAAGTAGG